TACATCACAGTATGTATTGAATAATTTTTTTTAAAAAATATATATTTTATTGATTTTTCTACTTTAAAAAACTATTAAAAAAAAAGAATTAGAAACATCGATGAGAGAGAAACATTCATCAGCTGCTTCTGCACACCTCCTACTGGGGATGTGCCCACAGCCAGGGTACATGTCCTTGACTGGAATCGAACCTGGGACTTTTCAGTCCGCAGGCCAACACTCTATCCACTGAGACATCCGGTTAGGGCTAAAGTACGTTTTTTATTGGTTTCAGAGAGAGGGAGTGAGAGGAAGAGAGAGATAGAAGCATCAATGATGAAAGAGAATCATTGATGGGCTGCCTCCTGCACAATCCCTACCGGAAATCGAGCCTATGAACCCACAACTGGGGGATGTGTCTTGACTGGGTATTGAACTGTGACCTCCTGGTTCCTGGGTCAACACTCAACCACTTAGCCACACTGGCCAGGCTAGGGCTCATCTTTTCCTTTTTTCAGTTGCTTTTATGTTTCTTTGCAGTTGGTCTCTTCCCATGGCGATGTCCATTGTCCACCGCGGCACTGGTGTTGCCTTGAGTGCAGGTACGTATGTCTGTTTTTGTGCACGCACACACCACACACACACAGACACGCACGCACGCACACTTCTGTGAATAACTTTGCTGTTTCTTTAGCTCCAAGCACTGCCTTCCTTGCAACTCAGCAACTTGATTTAGAGAAAACGATGAGTCTATTTTAAGCTTATCATTCATTCATTGCTTTAACAATTATGAGTTTCCATTATGCTCAGGGTCTTTGCTTAGGGATTTTAAAATCATCCTTAGCACATCCTGCTGGTATATTTACTGAAATCACAGTGCAGAGATAGAAATGTAATAGAGATGGGCTGGCTGACTGAAAGTTGACCCAACATAATCTGAGGTCAGTCATCAGCCTTATTCTTACGGAGACTCAGTTTTAGCCCCATTCCTTGTCACCCAGAATTGATCAGGCCCAAGGACTGACTCACTCTCCAGTCTCACTGTCTCAGTCACAGACCACAATGTCTGCCTGTTTGTGTGATGTGAATATAGCCCCGGGTGATTGTACACTGGTCTTAGTTCATCCTTTTCCGGTAGTGAGGTTTGTTACAGGTTCTCGGATTGGGTGCATCTTTCCACAGGAGGGGGATAGTTTGTGAGAGGACCGGCTGTGTTTTAAACATTCTCTGCTGGAGATATGCTCATAATATTTTTGTTTTTCATAATATGCTTAGGGTTCTTCCTAGGCTTCTTTTGTATTTATTTATTTTTAATCCTCACCGAGGATGTTTTTCCATTGATTTTTAGTGAGTGGAAGAGAGAGGGAAAGACAGAGGGAAATGTTGATGTGAGAGAGACACATCAATTGGTTGCCTCCTGCACAGGGAGGAGCCTGCAACCGAGGTATGTGCCCTTCACTGGAATTGAACCCGGGACCCTTCACTCTGCAGGCTGACGCTCTATCCATGGAGCCAAACCGGCCAGGGCTCCTAGGCTCCTGAGGACTATTTTACTGAAGTGGTTGTGGTCATCAGCAAGGCTGGTGGCTTCAGCGTAGGAGTCCTGCATTTAGGGAGCTGCAGCTAAGACAGTGGCAGAAGTTATCTGAAGCCACGTCTCTGCTACACGCAGCCAGATTCGTTTTGCTGGTGACGAGGTGAGGATGGGCACTCCCAGCTAAGATTTGATGCTGTTAAAGACTCCATCAAAAAACTACTAGACTTAATAAATGAATTCGGCAATGTAGCAGGATACAAAATTAATGCCAAGAAATCTATGGCACTTCTATACACCAATAGTGAACTTACAGAAAGAGATACTAAAAAAAAATCCCATTTACCATTGCACCAAAAAAATTAAGCTACCTAGGAATAAACTTAAGAGGTAAGGTAAAAGACCTCTACTCAGAAAACTACAGGACGTTGAAAAAAGATATAGAGGAAGACATAAACAGATGGA